GCATGCATGTACACACCCGGGTGACACACATTGATGCGACTTTACATAGCCTGCACTGTCGTTCTATGTCACAGGAGTGAGTGCACACACATATATGTACATGTAGATTGCCTAATTTTGCATACGTAATAAAATTGTATATGTATACACACATGTGCGTGCACATTATTATAGGTAAACTCAACGGCATAGGCATGAGTGTGTGCCAGTACTGCAGTAGGGCCACATGCCAATTATCCGATTACTGTAGTAGTCTGTGTAAGTTGCACGGCACGACAAACTTTCCGACAGTCTAAACATATGACACAATGAATGTGGAATACCCTCCAGTGTGTAAGACCATTTCATATCTATTTCGCAGCGTTTGTGATTTTCGGAGCGTCCCTGTTGATATTTGATGTCCTCACTTGGTTGATGACACAGTCACAAATTATCAAATTCACCTCCAATGCCATCCAATCTGCGTTCCGCGATACATGTACAGTGAACGGTGTTGAGGAAAGCCATGCAGCAATAAAACAGTCGAGACTCCCAAGCAGAGGATACAATTCTCGCAACAGCGTGATTGAAGTACGAATTGTTCTAAACAATTTTCAAGACACAATTACAAAATTTGAAGTGCGTCTTGAAACGTGTTTGAAGTGCTTCGATGTATTTACCTTCGATCTCCCTGAATCGATCCATCCACAGTTACCTGACGAATTTGCTAGTCAGTGCGGGAGATGATCGAGCAAGTTATAATATTTGAAGGTCGCGAGATGTCAGTGGCACTGGCAGGAAATCTACACAAGCGTGTTCTGAAATAATTTTCTAATACTCAGGCATGATTCAAGAGCGGACTTTGATTTCTCCCTTCTTATGGTACGAGCGCCAGCCGACATTGCATTCTTGGAAAATCTTCTGCGAGTGCTGCCTTCCCCTTTCAGAGAAAGAACGAGTGAAGAGGGACACTAGCAGCAGGTTCTAGCTAGGTCGCCAGAATTGCAGAAAAGCGAGAAGACGTTTCCTACAACGATTGATCGCACAAAAATCATCGCTACCGAAAAATTTACTGAAAATCTACACTTTTCTGTTGGCCTTTATAACGGGTTGCATAACCCTCCTTACGTGTGTGCACAATCTTGCTCTCTCTACATACTGCTGTGTATCATAGACAACATGCCCACGCTCTGCGCATGCGCAGATTTCCTGTGCGCACAACAGAGCTTGCTGTCTTTCCAGTTTCCTTGCTTGCAGTCAGCTTTCAAATTCTGAACTCGAAAATTCTGATTTCTGATTTGAGTTTGCCTCCGTCCTGCTTCAGAGTGTCAGTCCTAGTTCTGCCGATTGGCTGCCGTCTTTAGTATTCGCTTTCCTTGTTCTCTCTCAGCTCAGTCCCGTCAGACTACGTGTCTTCAGCGGCCAGAGATTATTTGAGGATTAGGGAGGTTCTGCTATACGTGAAGCGTAGAGAAATCACGTAGAGAGCAGGTGTCTGGGTTAGAGTCTACGGCTTCGCGTGTTTTGGCTCCAGATTTCTACGCGGAGATGGGGTTCTCTACGTTGTGGCACACGCAGAGAAAATGCGTACGGATTTGCTGGGTATCGATCAACTGCATGCAGAAAACTGCCAAATATGGAAGGGGAAATTCCCAGTACACATTCCACGTGACTTCTCTAGGTGAAACGTAGAGCAGAACAGCATTTCTTTACGTTACGGGAACGCGAAGAAAGTTCGCGTGATTCTTTGCGTCGCGTTCCCAAAACGTAGAGCAGAACCTCCCTATTATATTCTCACGATGCCGGCTCGTTTCTCGACCAGACAAAAGACGCCATCGGCCAGAGTGGCAGCTCAACCTTCGGATACAGGACGTAATGTGCGTGTGCGGCGAAATCCTGTTCGTCACTTCAATCGCCCAGAACTCCAATACCTCCCCACTCGGATTCTGTTGTCTCTGACGTTGCGCCGTCAGTTTCTGCTGCCGCCGCCTTGAATGTGGCCCCTGATCCCGGGGCGGCAACTCAAACTTCGGCTGCAGGCAGTAATGCACGCGCGAGGGCAACTCCTGTTGTAATACAGATATCTACCCTTTTTATCACTGTTAATTTGATCATCGGAGTACAAGCCGCACTCCCATTTTTGGGTGAATTTTGAGCGTTCAACGTGTGGCTTATACTCCTGAAAATACGCTACATTTGGAAATATTGTGGACAGCTAAACAGTCAGTGTTCGTTCTGCAGAGTTGCACGTGTGATGAACGGACAGTGTACAATGCTGTCTCTCGAACCAAGATCGGAAATTTGAGTGCGTCGGCACTCAAATCCCCAACCCCCTGGATATGTTTGGAATGAATCCAGAAACTCTCCTAGAGTAAACCAGCATGCATGTAACTGTCTTAGCAGTGAGACATGAAGCATCTCTGAAACTCACCGTGCTACTGAGGCTGGTAGAGGGGCGAAATCAGTCAGCTTTCAAAGTTTCGCTAAGCCGCGGTGATCAGCTGAATTGTGCGCTACCTCAAGTTTCCACTCAACTGACTCGGACGGTGGGACGAATTGCTGAATGAAGTATTGGTGAGCGATGGTGTCTGCGCAAGGAACGTTAGCTACAGAGCACGCCTTCAAAGTTTCAAACAGTGGCTCAGCCGCTGGACTTCTATCTGTACAACTGTTTCTGTTTCTAGATGTTACTGAGCTAGGCCATGATAGGGTGCAACGAAACGAGTTCCTAACTCTGAGGTTGACTGCATGCAGCAGCTACATCGGACTAACAGGAACCCTAGTACTAGACAGAAAACTATCTCGGACCAGCTCCAAGGGACCATGGCATGGGCTTCACGTTTTGTCGTAGTACTAGTACTAGTAGATCTACATGACTCAACGAGAAATCCCACAGCCGGGCACCGCTACCTCTACCAGTCTACCGACTGTCCGGGCCGTCACCAGGGTCACAGCGCTAGCGACACAGACAAAAAAAGGCCATGCACGGCCAAGCCTATCTAGTACCTAGCGCCTGTAGCTGTCGACGATCGCAGGATCATTGGCATGCAGTCTGTGCCTGTGCCACTGACTGACTGTTGTGAGAGTGACTCTGTACTCCAGTGCCTCTCACTGAGTCTCAGTAATCAGGTAATGCCTAGTATAGTAGTAATGCTTGTAATGGCAGCTGACTTTATTTTTGGAGAAACACTACTGGAGTATACTCGGCTTACACACGACAGCGACAGGTCTACAGAGTGTTCAAGTGAGAAACATTAATTTCAATTGTTGGTGGACGAACAAATCGCTGGTTCCGAAAAACGCGGCCTGCGCCGATGGTGTTTGGTGGATCATCAAACAGGGTGACCAGCAGTGTTCACCGAGGAAGGAGAACTCACTCGCCACCACTGTCGTCCGATTCATCCAAGTGGGCGTTAGCTGCGCCGCGCCTATTGAGTATTGTGTTTTAATATTCCATGGACGCACACTATAGCGTTCTCAGCGATTGTGGAGCCACAACTGATCTTCATGCAGCGTTGCACTGTCCAAGAGCACAAACGTCAGCATGCACTGACCCATCATCAACTCCGACATCATACATGTAGATTTGGAGTATACACCATACGCCAATGGGTCTTGGCACAACAGCGGCCGGCAGCTCTACGGAGTGTTCCAGTGAGAAAAATTTGTTCCGAATGTTGGTGGGCGAAAAAATCGTCGGTGCCGAAAAATGTGGCCTGCGCCGATGGTGTTTGAAACATCAATGGCTCCGGAAACAGCAGCTGAGCCAGATCAGCCAGTCTTGCCAAGTCTCAGTTGACGGACTCCGTGCTGCAGCTACCAGCACTGGCACCAGCCGGAAATATTTTTCCGCCGATTCCCGTTGCTTCCAGTTCTGTCAAGGGCATGCCTGCAATCCATTGCCAGGTGATGACTTTTTACTTTGTATTATTTTGCTGCCGAGTTGTTCAGAACTTTTCAGCCCTGATCTGTCCATGTCTACATGTCGGCCTTTCGCAAACTTCATGTGGAAGTTGGCTTTACCTACCCATCGAGCCCAATGACTCTCCTCGCAAGGCTCCTGTCGGGCATCGACAGGTTATCATCGACACAGCGTCATCGCCTGCTGATAACCACTCAACTTCTCAGGGAGATTAGCCGGCATGTTGCCTTTCCACGTGTGTGGCACCTTCATGACAAGGCCATGCTAAGGGCAAAGTGAAACTGACTACTTGATTTTAGCTTTATATTACCGCAGTCAGTCCAGCACAATACACCAATCGTATTTCACTATTACTCGCGTGTCATAATTGGGGATATGGGCTGCTCCAGCTGCTCCGCCCAATATCCCTGATATGCCAACTAGACGAAAAGTGTGTTCTGAGCCTGTATCGCGTATAATAGGCTCATAGTAAAAAAATAATAAAAGTCTTAAAAAATCAGGTTTGACGTGACACTTCCAGCCGAGTTTTCCGCATCCGCAGGAACGCTACCACCCTCTAGAATCATAGTACTCTGCAATGAACAGATTATGAAACTCCCTGCAGATTTAGTCATCTCTGGTCGGACTGGTCTTGGGGCACCATGGAAGCTGTGACTGGTTGCCAAGTTTAGTTTTGTGATTGATCATGGGGCGTTTGTGACTACAACGGAAGCATAACTGCTCACAGAGTCTTACTGTTGTGAATATTAAAATCGAGTGAGAAGTCAAGCAGCCACGGGGCGCTGGCCTTGCAGCTGTGAGTATGCATACGGTACATATTCACATGACTATATTGTATGCTGGACACTGCTGGTCCATTGTTGCAGTGTGTAAGTGAACTGCAGTACCTATTCCGTGATGGAACACCTACTCTTGAAAGACTGAATGTTTGAGCTAATAGTCTTTTACTTCACTCTCATGCTGCTCACATATACCATACGCCAGAAGACCCTAAGCTAGTTCTAAGATTTTGTGGACCATGCGACCATGTGGTACTTTCACTCTACAGCCAAGTCAACCCACTTCGTCAACACACAGGGTTTCCTCAGACACAAGAGAATGGCTTACTCCACTCTGGAGAAGAACACAGTTTGCTCTCTCGAACACCAACAGCAGATAACTACGGAACATGGGCAGCGTAACAACTGCTAGAATATTGAACTGGCGTCGTCCACACAAAACAAATAAAGACAACTGATAACCAAAACACATGCAACTGCCAACATGCATGTAACAGCGACTGAAAGCCAGAACTACAGACTCCGCTCAGGGAGGAACAGGGGAAACAGAGGTAACGCTTCCGACTCCGAGAGCTTCGAATAGCAGCGGACAACACAATACATCAACCTTGCGTGTCACCTTGCGCTACCGCAAACGAACACCTATGGATGCGGCACAGTACAGCACAGACTCAGTGCATGCACGGTGTAATAACTGGAGTACATGTAAACCGACAACGGTCACCTTGCACCCTATTATATGCAGTAAGTTACACAGGCGGTGCCAACAAAAGAGCAGGGTATGTGTATAGTGCACACTCCAATGGCACAGCAGAAAATGTTCTCACCAATAGCCACTGCTAGCTGTTTGTCATCTTGCTGTGCCAAATGATGCTGTATAGACGCGCCAAGCCGAAATGGACTGCTTATGAGCGTGAACGGTACCCGGCAGAAGCGATACGTTGCCAGGCTGATGTACTGTCGGAGTTGGCGAACCACAGAAATCGTGTCGCATCTCTGTATGCTGGGTTGACACTGATTTGTAGAATGGCCTTCTCAGTATCGCAGGTCATAACGATTGGTGGCAGGCAAAATCGTAGAACAATGCCAAACAGATCTGGCAGCAAAGCTGGGCCACGTTGCAAACAGTCGTTCAGGGACACATAAGTGCGTCTGGCTTTGGCTGAGGCGTCATAGACAATTCTGACTTTTGTGATCGTCTTCTGTGGTATCACGACTGGTTGATGAGGCGGATAGGGCACTCTGGCACCCACAGGTGTAGAAGGACTCACTTGTTCAATGATGCCTTGTCGTAGCTGCTGCTGGATCACGTCGTCGCATTTGACCTTGAGTTCCGACTCTACTTCTAGGCGCTTGGATAGAGACCGGAAACGATCGAGTTGAATGACAGTTGAGATGAATTGCCTAATTGCTAGGTCGTTGTTAGAAGATTGGCTGAATCCTGGATGCCAACGCAGTCCAAGTCCCACAGATCTGAGATGGTGCAGGAGTCGGAAATCGCATCAGTTAGAGAAACGATAGCTGGCATGGCTGCTCATCGGCGTAGCTGAGTGCTTGGGGTGACGTGTCCGGCCAGTCACCACAAAACCGACTGTGGTAGGCAGAGCCTGTAGTCCTGACGGAAGTCCTCTGGTGCTCCCCGTCATAAACTCCCAGAGGAAATCTGCACCGATCAAGACGACTGACTATCTTTCGGTCGATGGCGATACTGGTTGATACTGCACTAGCTGCTGTTGCGCTAGATACTGGTACCTCGTCAAACACAGGCTGATCAGATACCATGTTGGTACTGCTGTCAGATTTCTGTTGAGATTCAGGGCAGATCGTGACATGATGGTGACTCTGATTGGTGACCCATGCGAGAACACACATTACACTTGCGGGTGGCCTTGCACTGAGTTGACCGGTGCCCTGTGCGCAAACACACAATGCAACGCTTCTGTTCAATCAGTTATTCTTTCCGCTGTGCTACTGTTGTGTATTTCGTGCAGCTCTTGTCCAGGTGAGATCCACCGCAGAATGCACACCCTCTCATACTGCTGGCATTCCAGTTACCATCAGACCGCTTCCTTCTGGTGAACTTGCATGCGCCTGTCACCAGTGCACCTGCAGAATAATGAGTGACATCTTCTGCTGTAGTATCGCCTGTGTTTGTGCGGCGCAGAAAGGCGTCTTGCATGATAATATAACGCTTCAGTGCTGTTCTAAAGTCGTTCAGTTTCCATTGTGTCCCAGCATCTGAAAAGCCTCGCGATTCTTCGTCGTCAGGTTGCGATTCGTCCAGTTGAATCAGCGTTCGTCATGATCCGTATCCTGGTCACAGCACCATGTGACGATCTGGTGACATCAGACGGATATAATACACAAGAGACAATTGTGATATTTCTACGTTGTGTTTACTTCTGATACTGTATAGCAGGAAATTTTCGGACGGAAATATTTTCGGACAAAGCCAAATTTCGACCTTTTGGACGGATTATATTTTCGTACAGTGCTGCATCCTAAATACACGTGTTCGCAAGCAGTATGCATGTATAGTGTACATAATTTCACATGAACAAATTTTAGTACGGAATTAATTTTAGTACAAAAGAGGCCGTGTACGAAATCGTACGAAAATAAATTCCGTCCGAAAATGTCCTGCTCTACAGTCATACAGTAGAAAAATAAGTGTAAATAAAAGTAATGTAAATAAAAGTAATGTAAATAAAAGTAATGTAAATAAAAGTAATGTAAATAAAAGTAATCTAAATAAAAGTAATGTAAATAAAAGTAATGTAAATAAAAGGGGGTTTGTCAACTGACAACCGCTCTATTTAGTTGCTATTCACTCTTTAGATGAAAATTATTTTTTTAATGATGTCGAAAATTATGCGGTTGGCAGTTGACAAACCCCCTTTTATTTACAATGCAGTTGCGTGATGTCCACCACTTTCTGTACATAATCTAACAGTCCTAAAACAGCCACTGACTTCCAACTACCAAGGGAAAGCAAGCCCAAGCGCAGGAGAACCGTGCGCGTGCGGGTACGTGACATATAATATCGAAGTGCAGCTGGCAGGCAGGGCATGATCAGGGGTTCAGGACCTGCGTGTAAGCGCTCTGATTGGCTCAAACCCTGGCAACCGTGAATCACGTGCCATGTCTGAAAGTACAAGTAGTTGCGATTTGTGCTAAAGTTCAAACTGACGGAACACGTGCAGCGCTACACCGTGAACCATGTGGAAACAATAAGAAGCAGAGGAGACACGGGATAGCAGACATGAACTCAGGGTCAAACTGATAAGTGTGTAACGTGAATGCATGCAGTATATGGAGACAAAACAAAGTCATAGAACTCTGTACGTAACAAGACAGTACTACACACTAAACTCGTACATGTGAATGTCACAACACCATATGAATTAGCTCTTACACCCCACTTATGTTTCAGTCAGTAAGAGTACACATGCGTACTTACGTTGATTCCATCTTATTTCACTTGTCCAACGCCATCGTTGTGAGCCTTCGACACTTGGGAATACACAGGACAGATAAGATAGCGGCGAGAGCATCTCCCCGCTCTGTGAACACAGCTCAGACGCCATGCTTCATGATTGTGTGTCCATGGAGTACAAGAACACAATAGACTTAGTGCAGCTAACGAAATGGATGACGGGCGATGGCCTGAGTGTTCTCCTTCCTTGATGAACATTGGCAGCCACCACATACCATGCTTGATGTTCCAAGCACCATCGGCGCAGGCCACGTATTTCGGCACCGACGATTTGTTCGTCCACCAATAGTCGGAACAAAAGTTTCTCACTTGCACACCCCGTAGAGCTGCCGCTGTTGTGCCAAGGCCCATTGGCGCATGGTGTGTATACTCCAAATCTACATGTATGATGATGGGTCACTGCTGACGTTTGTGCTCTTGGACAGAACGACGCTGCATGAAGACAAGGCTCCACAATCGCTGAGAACGTTAGTGTGCATCCATGGAATACTAGAACACAATAGGCGCGGCGCAGCTAGCGCCCACTTGGCTGAATCGGACGACAGTGGTGGCGAGTGCGTTCTCCTTCCTCGGTGAACACTGCTGGTCACCCTGTTCGATGATCCACCAAACACCATCGATGCAGGCCGCGTTTTTCAGAACCAGTGATTTGTTCGTCCACCAACAATTGAAATTAATGTTTCTCACTTGAACACTCTGTAGAGCTGTCGCTGTCGTGACAAGGCCGTGTATACTCCAAATCTACATGTAGGATGAAGAGTAACAGTTACTGCTGATAATAAAGTTTGCGCTCGTGGACAATACAACGCCGTGTGAAGTAAATTGTGGCTCCACAATCGCTCAGAATGCTAATGTGTGTCCATGGAATACTAAAACACAATAGGCGCGGTGCAGCTCACGCCCAACGTGGATGAAACGGACAACAGTAGCGGCTAGAGCGTTCTCCTTCCTCGGTGAACACTGCTACAAGATATTATGCTTGATGATTCACCAAACTCCATCGTTGGGGCCAAGTTTTCCGGCCCCAGCGAGTTGTTCGTCCAGCAACTAACTTTGAGTCTTTCTGCAACACTTCGTAGAGCAGCCGCGCAAGGCCTTTCTTTCACGTCAGGGTAGCGATCCTTCCTAGATGCTATCGCCATTCATTGTTACGTTGACTAGTGTTTCTCCAAAAATAAAGTCAGCTGCCATTACCATGATTACTCGGCATTATAACTGAGTACATGCCAGAACATGTACACAGACAGTACACAGTACCAGTAGCACTAGACGCGCATAGGAACAGTCCCTAGTCCTAGACTGCATGGCTGTACATGCACACTGAGTCTGTACTAAAAATCCTCTCCACCGAACAAGTAACACGTAAGTAATTAGTTGCCAGTGGCAACATATGCAAAAGCAAAAGGCGCATACATGCACTTGACTTTGATTCTTCTTTTGTTGTTTTCAGTGTTTTCTCTTTCTCATTGATCTCGACAGTGTTGTGGTGCTCGTTACCTTACTGAGACATCTCTTGTGACCGTGCATGGTCAGTGTCACCAACGGCGCAACGAGGCGGAGCGCCGGGATCGAGCGTGTAAAAATGCTCTGCATTAGCAGCTCCTGTAGTGTAGAATGAACACTTCATCCATCGATTGCCGCTATGCATTTCGTGTTGTGGTCACAGATAATCTGGGCAAATGTAAAACTACCAACTGGAGAGTGCTATGTTGTTAGGGACGTGTCCCAAAGTGTCATCACATGGCTGTGGAGACTAGTACACACCTGGAGGAATATTTCTACAACAGTGATACGGAGTGATATGGAGTGCAGATGGATGAATAGAAAAGAAAACTGAGATGATGGGAAGTAAGTACATGTCATGTAAGTAATTAGTTGATTGTGTGGAAGAAATTTGAAACAAGATAAAATAAAAGTTTCACTCAAACATACATGTAACATCCTGATAAGTATTCCGTCTTCATTTTTCCAGGTAGTGGCACTCCACACGCTCCGATTACCTGGTGTGTGTGTGTGTGTGTGTGTGTGTGTGTGTGTTTGTGTGTGTTTGTGTGTATGTGGGCACTCCAGTCTCCCCGGAGGTGTGGGTTCGAATCCCACCGCTGCCACCAGTGTTAGCTGCTCCCGGCTAATGAAGTCCCCTCACACCAAAACACAAGAGTGTTCTAGTATTGAATTATGAAAGTACAAGAGTCACAAGAAGGAGAACAGGACAACGACAACTCAAGACTAGTGCCAGCTAGTTCGGTTGGTAGGTACACTTATGCCTGATTGTGTTGGGTCTGTTGCCAACAGGCTTGGCTGCTTGAAGGTGTAATGTTGTACCTGCCACCTTTGTTGGTTGCAGGGTTCATATACTTTCTATTTGAAGTATACATACCTGTTAACCATGGACTGATTCTGGCTAGATTAACTCTTGTGTAATCAATGGTGCTAGTGAAGCTTATATCAGATCCACTCTGATTTAGCCACCCACACTAGTAGCAAGTATTACCTTCACTGGGGGCAGGGGTAACTGCAGTTGGATCCCGGGACGGATACCCTGATTCCGTCAATCCTTTTTCTGCAACTTGTCCTCGCCCACTTACTGAGGTGTGGTGAGCCCATAAGTGGGAAAGTTTTCAATTCCACCCAGAGTTTTGGGGATTTCAGGGGGTTTTAGCCATTGGGCGGTTCAATAGCCAATTGAGTCATCTTTCCAAGATTCCTTTTGAGTCTCTCTCCCCTCTCCCGGGGAGACCACGTGACCAGTTTTGGAAGTGAGCAACAAGCACAAGTGTGTGTATGTGTGTGTATGTATGTGTTTGTGTGTGTGTGTGTGCGCGCGCGTCCTCAGCCCTTGCAAAGACCCTTGGAGTGCCTGAGGACATTGGTCACATTGTACGGGAACGGCGTTTGCGCTGGCTTGGACACGTGACACGGATGGAAGATTACCGGTTGCCCAAGTGTGTTCTCTTCGGTGAACTGCCTGCCCCGCGCCCCGAGCATGGTCCACGCACGAGGTGGAGGACGTCATTATGGATGACGTTTCGTCGGTTGAGCCACCGGTACCAACATGTTGATGGTACGGTGCAGCCCAGAACAGTCCGGAGTGGCGTACCATTGCCCGTCGACCACCCAAGGCACCCTCTGCTGCTGGCTACGGTTGCGCCTGCGGCCGCATGTTCCGTCGAAGCGGCGACCTGAAACGCCATCAGTCGTTCTGTCGTGGACTGGAGAAATAACAATGCGCTGTCATTGCTACGCAATGGGCAAGGTCAAGGTGTGTGTACAGCATGTGTGTGTGTTTGTACAGTATGTGTTAGTGTGTGTGTGTGTGTATTATGTGCCACGAACCTTTCTGCCGGTTGCCGCCATATTAGTCCTTTCTCTATCATTGCCTCTGGCAATGGGCAAGTTCAAGGTTCAAGTATGTGTGTGTGTATAGTCATGCACACATTCTCGTGTGTGGTTGAGTTGGCTAGACAAATTGACCGTGTATGGGCACGAGGTTTCCGTCATGTCGATGGTATTGGAATTACGTACCGTATTTTCTGGAGACAACGCCGCACTTTGAACACTCAAAATTCACCCAAAAGAATGACTTATATTCCAATGACCAAAATAACAGTGATCATCAAATAGATGTCTGTATTTCATGGCAAAAAAATGTGGGGGGGGGGGGGGGAGGGGGTACGGCTTATACTCCGGAAAATACGGTACTGTATGACTTGTAATGTAAAATATAAATTTCTCTTAACCTTGTTAGTGGAATTTGTGTCATTGCTCAGTGGGTATGGGTTGCAACGCCTTGTTGGTTATTTTGTAGGAACAACAAGTTACGCTATAATGTCCACTAACACCACCAGTTACTTGACAATCAGCTCATGCATGTTGAATCTTTAGAGCCACACAAGTTGTGTGCTATGTTGCTATGCGTCCTTGAATCTTGGTTTGACCGTACTGTCCAATGGTCTTGCCAGTATCGTCATCGACATGCATGTACATCGGCCTTCACAGCTAAGACCTTCAGCTTGTGCTTGTCTTGGTTGTGCTCACCTTCCCCTCCTATGTTATCATGTAACTAAGAACATTCCAAGTTGGAATGCTGTTGGAGTGCGCATCCAAGACATGCTAGAGCTGATAGCCAGTTAGTTGTAGAAGGTCAGTACCGTCGGTCAGTGCCGTGCAATGTTATCGCATGAGTTGATTGTCATGTGACACAGGGGTGTTGAACATGCTACGGTCACTACGCTATTGACCGTATCATTTTTTGCCCCAGGTACCCCCCCCCCCCCCCGTGAACCAATAAAATAAACTGATTTGGACTCTAAATTTCCAAAATTTCGGCTCAGCCACCCGTCCCCCACGAGTAAGTTGTACTTCAAATTGCTGACCTCACCACACTATAATACCTGCAGATGCCCCTGTAACTGATTTATTTATTTATTTATTTTTATAATATTTTTACAGCGATTACTTTTTTTTAACAATGCAACACAATATTGTGGAAAGGTCACAACAATAAGAGACAAGATCAAAAGGAAAGCTTTACAATAATATTAATAATAATAATAAAACGTAGCCTGTAAAATGTAAAGAGTCACTGAGTACAGTTTAATTCAGTATCCATGTCCAGTATTTATAAGAAAAACAATCTGCCGCAATTAATAGATTCTCACATGCGAGCAACCTGAGCCTCAGCAACAACCAGCTCAGCAGACTCCGGATGCCGAACCGATAGTTCACGGAAAAGACCCCGTGAACCCCGCAAACACATGATGCATGATCGCAACAGGGCAAATGAGAGACGGCATATGTAACTGGTGGTGTTAGTGGACTTTATAACGTAACTTGTAGTTCCTTGGTGGTTTTTTTGTGTTTTCTTGGTTGAGCAGACGGTTTCATTTCTGTGTTCTGTAGTGATTGGCCGGTGGAAACAATAATCCAAGTGGATGTCATTGTGTTCTATGTATGTGCCTTTTGCAACAGGTTCAAGGCAAGATGCACGTCATGAAGCATTCGGCCCGTGATGTCAGTGTCTGGTAGCTTATGTAGCCGTGGTTGTATGGGTGATCAAAGATGATACTCTGCATATCAATGTAAGTGTGAAGTATTTGTGCTCTGCCCATACAACACAGCAACAACGACAGAGTTACATAGCCACTGGCTGGCAATGGTGTAGTAATCATATGAATATGTGTTAGTATTCGTGACCTATTGTAAGCAAGTAAGCTCATCATTACTACAAGACTAATAGTATTACTAGCAGCAGACATGACGTCATTCTCCTGTTTACATACCTCTAATATCTGTATCTACAGCTGCAGCAGCAGTGGGTACCATGGCAACACAGTACACACTTTATCTCCCTCCCATGTTCAGTTTTACTGCTCTGCACACACCATCGTGGTGTGGTTGGCGTGTGTTGTGTGTTTTTGTTCTCAGCATCTTCAGCATAGTACACGTAGTGAATCATGTACCGGGTTACTTTCCATCGCCTGCTGCCTCCGCCGCCGTATACGTATCATTTTTATTGAGATGACGTGAGTTTACCGTGATCAGTGATTTCCCCGTCACCCCGGCTTGCCTGCTGTCATACTTAAAGCTTTCCAATCTATTGAATCTATCCTTTTTGTTCTTGCCTGCAACAGCAATCAACACTCTACCATCTATTTACTGTTGTTTTGTACGTCGCTGCACGTTTGAGCCAGCAGCTACACTGCACTCGTGTGTGTTTATGTGTACGGTCTGTCTGAATATCTATAGTCACATGACCAGTGCATGGTTACATCATCAAGAGTACACACAGCTGTACTGTGGGGTGCTGAAGAACGGTTGGGTTAGGTGAAAAACGGACATGCAGGCTGGAATTTCACCCTGGCACAGCATACCAATGTATAGACAGTAACTCAACTGTGCATAAACCATAGTACATGAAAATAGGAATGCTCTAGGCTACTACCAGGCTGACCCCCCAGTTCGTTCTAACCCAACAGTACAGTGTAAGTTTGACATCATCTACATGCAGTAGATATCCGCAAAGTTACATGGTGCAATGTACTATGTGTACTGGGGGTAATAAAATAATGACCTCTCTGGAATGGTGCGCTGTACTGGGGGTAATAATGCCCGCTCTGGAATGGTGCACTCTATTGGGGGGTAATACTGCCCTCTCTGGAATGGTCTGTCCCCGGGGAAAATTGCAATTCCGCGGCCGCGTTTTTTTCCGCGTTTTTTTGCGATTTTTTAAAAGACCGCGTTTTCCGCGATTTTCCCGCGTTTTTTGAACTTTTTTGTTGCACTACACGTACACACAGTGCACTGTTCGGTCAGCAACGTTTCATCGTGGTGGCTTTTTACTCAAATATGACGAGTGCTTGCACCAGAGACTTGTAACTGATTGATTTCACTACATACTCACTGAAAATTGCCGCACATCAATATTATTCACCGCATATTTACCGCATATTTACCGCAAATTCACCGCAAATTATGCCATATTATGCCGCGTTTTTCCCCGCGTTTTTTGCGATTTTTTTCCGCAATTTTCCCCGGGGACAGAATGGTGCCCGGGGTGCAGTGCAGACCGTGACTGAATGCTTGAGATCAAGGAAATACATTACAGCTGTATCATGTGTGATAAGGTGATGCAGCATGGCCGCGGTGCAGTGTGGACTGAGAGCAATGGAGTTTCCGCGCGTCTCATCACACCAAGACTAGATAAACTCTTCGTCACAGTCATTAGGAGCAGGAGAGTGCCGGCTACAGCTGATCAAGCGTACCACCAGCAACAATGAATGTATTTTCATTAAATGCTGGCATTGGTGTCAACATTGACAAACACGTACATCAGCAATCGACTATCAGAGCAGAAGCAGAAGAGCAGTGAACACCATCAGTATAATTATACTGTATATACATATCTATAAGACTATTGTACAGTGTACTCAGCACTTGCTGGTGACAATAACCACATCAACAAAACCAAGAGAAGAATCGTGACGGAGAGCTACGTAGTGTGCAACAGTATGAACAGAAGTATTGTCTGCAACATCAGCAGTTGCACTACCAGTAACATCATGTATTCTTGTGTGTATACTTGACTGTGAGGAATTATATCCGTAAATCCTAGAATAACCAGAAAACTGATCATTGAACTGTTTCTTCAGCAGAGTCATGCATGCTACACAATACAATCATTGAAAACAGTACACACACAAATTACATTCTACTCAAGTGAATTCAATACTCAGTGTGATGTGTGCTGCACGCCCACACACATACACACACGCACGCACGCACGCGCGCACACACACACACACACACACACACACACCTTGACCTTGACCTTGCCCATTGCGTACGCAATGATAGCGAATGTCGGAAAGTTCAAGTGAGAACACGAGCGCAGAACTTGGCATGTCGTTTCAGATCTCCTGGTCGACGAAATGGGCGTCCACAGACACATAGAAGAGGATCAGGAGCGGGCCGTGGTGGTGGGGTGCTACTCGCAACTTGTCTCCAGCCGGGACGATCTTGGCAACTCTCAAGCCAGGTGGTCACGCCGAGGTCCGCCAGGTCAGTCGACACCACATCTCGCCACCTCTTCTTCGGGCCGTGATGAGGACGGGGGGCAGGCAGCTCGCCGAACAGCAATTGCTTCGGTGTGCCAGCACACACACACACACACACACATCATTCTGGAAGTTGTGCAATCATTGACTGTTGGTTGGTAGATCAAACTTGAACATTACGTCAGCTCTGTCCTTGCCTACTCCTTCAGCAACGGCTGGAAGTGATAGAAAGTTTTTAAAGAAGACATTATACATGCATGCATGCACACACACACACACACACACACACACACACACACACACACACACACGCACACACACACACACACACACGCACACACACACACACGATGCACACAAAGATGCATGCACAAACACACGTACGCACACACACACACACACATGCACACAAATCGCACAAAAATGTTGGTCTTCTGGAAAGACAGGCAGTTCGTAGGCAGTACGGTCATTCTCGTATTCAAATTCAACACACAAAGAAATGACCTGCATATAGAAAATAGAAAAGAAAAATGACCAAGGAACTACAAGTTACGCTATGATATCCACTAACACCACCATTAACCCAGGCCCACGTGTAAACACCCAGGTCTCCGGGCATACCTCTGCATATGCACACGCGCAAGCGCATGCGCACGCACGCACACACACACACACACATTCATGTACACAAACATAATTGCAGACACTCCAACGCCCCGTTTGTGCGTACAACGACGTACTCGCGCACGCACTCACAGGCGATCAGCACATAAGTTGGGAGTTGCCATGACTTCCTTTTTATTACTTCAGCAAAGTGATGATAGGCCAGTTCCAAGAAAGCAAACGAAATTATTTGCGTCATATCATCACATTCGGTCGTCAGTAATTCACACTGCCCACCGGTGGCAGACGCACGACCCGCCCACCATCATATTGTATGTGTGTGGTGTGACGCCTCATGCCAGGCAGTTGTGTGAGTTCTTGGCGTCGGTGGTCGTTTGTTTGCCCTCGCTGGGCAGTATGAGGTCGGCCCTAGCGGGCAGTATGCTTTTGCCCTTGGTGGGCAGGTTGTCGGCCTCGGTGGCTGTTCGTTTGCTCAATAGGCAATATGATTGAGCCCTCGGTGGGCAGTATATAATCGGTCCACGGTGGGCAGCATTCTTTGGCCCTCGGTGGGTACTACGCTTTATCCCTTGGCGGGAAGTTTGCTGTAGCCCTCGAGGACAGGCTATTGACCTTGACGGCCGTTGTGCACCCTCGGTTGGGTGGTATGCTTTAGCATTCAGTAGGCAGGTTTCAGGCCTCGGCGGCCGTTCGTGCGCCCTCGGTTGGGCTATAATCATGCGCCCTCGGTGGTGCTATGATCATGCGCCTTCGGTCGGGCTATAATCATGCGCCCTCGGTCGGGCTATAATCATGCGCTCTCGGTCGGGCTATAATCATGCGCCCTCGGTTGGGCTATAATCATGCGCTCTCGGTCGGGCTATAATCATGCGCTCTCGGTCGGGCTATAATCATGCGCTCTCGATCGGGCTATAATCATGCGCTCTCGGTCGGGCTATAATCATGTGCTCTCGGTCGGGCTATAATCATGCGCTCTCGGTCGGGCTATAATCATGCACTCTCGGTCGGGCTATAATCATGCGCTCTCGATCGGGCTATAATCATGCGCCCTCGGTCCGGCTATACGCTTCTCTCGCGCCCTCAGTTGGGCAGTATGCTTTAACCCTCGATGGATAAGCTGTAGGCCTGCGCAGCCGTTCATACGCCCGCAGCGGGCATGTTTCTGGCCATGTCTGCCATTTGTGCGCCCTCGGTGGGCAGTATGCTAACGGTCCACAGCAGGCAGGATTACTTAGCCCTCAGTGGCTTGGCTGTTGACCTCCCCAGCCGCTCATGTCAATGGCCCACGGTGGGCAGCTGCAGGCTAGCCCTCGGTGGCCAAGAACTCACACAACTGCCTGGCATGAGGCGTCACACCACACACATACAATATGATGGTGGGCCATTCGTGCGTCTGCCGCCGGTGGGCGGTGCGAATTACTGACGACCGAATGTGATGATATGACGCAAATATTATCGTCGCTGTCTTGGAACTGGTCTATCATCACATACTATTATATTTAATACATTTAATCAAAATGAAGTCATGGCAACCCCCAAACCTATGTGTTGATTGCTTGTGAGTGTGTGCGCGAGTACGTCGTTGTACGCACAGACGGAGTGTCTGCTATTATGTTTATGTACATGAATGTGTGTGTGTGTGTGTGTGTGTGTGCGTGTGTGTGTGTGTGTGTGTGTGTGTGCGTGCGTGTGTGTGTGTGTGTGTGTGTGTGTGTGTGTGTGCGTGTGTGTGTGTGTGTGTGTGTGTGTGCGTGCGTGCGTGCGTGCGTGTGTGTGTGTGTGCGTGTGACCTGACTTGCGTGTGTACCCGTGGGCCTGGGTTAAAAGCTAAAACTGCATTTTGACACATGAAGAAATCAAGTGCAAAGGAACGCTCCTTCACATCCCGACAATTGAAGAGCTTGAAGAAGACACGTCTTTCGATATGACACCATAACACTAACAGGATGTCTGTACAATTTTGCCAGCTTGTAAATCGTGCATGTTACTGAACAATCAGCTCATGCGATAACATTGCACGACACTGACCGACGCTACTGGCATTCTACAACTAACTGGCTAAAGCGCGATGCACAATATCACTTATGCGACGCGATGAGCGACGAGCAATGCGATCGAAATGTTTTTCTGCAAAATTTTGAATCGCACCTCCGTTGCAGGTCTCATCGCGGAAAGTTGAGCCTAGTTCAACTTCTGCGACAAGCGACGAGCGATGCGCATCACTTTCTACACGGCGGGCGCACATGACAGCTCGCGTACAGTTTTGGACTGTGCATGCCCTGCAACGATGTGCCGTGCATTGTGCATCGAAGACTCTTCGTGCGATTCGAAAAAAGACTTTCACTCGACGCTCATCGCATCGCAGAATTGATATTGTGCATCGCGCTTTACTGCTCCCTGATACAGACCAGCTGAGGTGGACCGGAAAGTTTGCTGCAGACTTTATGGTACTGGTCAAGTACACACATCTGTAGATGGAGAGTCTGGCTAGGGTGACTAGTGTAGTGTCTGTCTGATCATCATTATTCATCAACAAACAGGTGTACCCGTATTTCATACACTGATCAGCACTGTACATCTACTACTGTACAACACATACCTGGGAATATGCTGATGTTGTGTAACGTCTTCCTGCAATCAATCCGAGATGAACTCCAGGACAGTAGAGTTGTTATACCGTAGCATGGAATTGTACAATGGCCGTCGAAGTTTGTCCATAGAGCATGGGTTCCCGTACAAGTGTACACCCTCCATCCTCATGATGCCTGGTGACTGCAGCATGGCTTGAATGCTATCATCGGTGATCTTGCAGTACTCGAGGCTGATCAATCTCAAGCTTGTGTTCTTCCTCATCATATCCACCAGGGCATACACTGTGGCACCACCAATCTTATTGCTCGCCATAGACATCCATTCAATACGTGTATGGTGATGGAGAGAGTGCAGGATACTTCCACCAACTTCATCACTCATGCCCGTCCGGCAAAATGAAATGAAGCGCAGCCGTTGGAATGTAGAGAGAAGCTGGCATAGCAGTCTGCAATCAGCATGACTGGGCTGTATGTCATGAAACACTGGGTTGTCCTGTAGATTCAATGCACTGACATGTGATTGTGGTGATGTCACTGCTTGTAGTACACTCACAACACCAGACAGCTGTATCCTATTGCTGCCCAGACGAAGGTATTTCAGCACTGTGTTGTCTGCAAGGCCAGATGTTGCCAGAGCAGTTGCTCCAGCATCGGTAATGTTACAGGTTGCTATGTCCAGTTGGTCTAGGTCAGTGTTGGTTGCAAGGTACTGACCAAGTGATGACATCATGGAGTCATCGACCTTGCCTTGTAGGTTATCACCATGTACACTGACCAGATGATCAATTGACTGAGTGCATACTGAAGTACCAGTAGCATAGCGGCTGCCAATGTCGATTACGTCACCACCACATTGATTAGACGTAGCTACTTCCTGTAGAAGACGGATTGTTACACCGCTGCCGCTCAGATAAACCCTGCATGGTGGTAGTGTTGTGCTGACACTCCCAGTGTGCTCACGACCGCGACGAGCTTGCAGAAAGTCAACAACACTAGCGGCTAGCTCATCAGTCAGTCTGGTGTTCTCGAAGTGAAGATGCTGTATGGTATCATGAGAATGGAGACTGGATAGTACACATGACACGTCACTGTTGGAGAGTGAGTTGTCATTCAGCCATAGACTGGCAAGGCGTGGTAACTTTGTGACCAGTGTTGCCAGGTCAGATCCACATCCACTATCCAGTCTGCACCATGCCAGTGATAGATCTGTGAGATGATCACACGGAGCCAAGTTGCTCGCAAATGCTGCCAGACCATCATTGCCAAGTTTAGTTTTGAGTGCAGTCAGGTACGTTAGACTTGGGTGTTTTACACATCCAGCAAGTGCTGCTCCATCTGCAGATCCACTGGTCAACTTTGTGCCGCTTATATCAAGAATCTGGAGGGTACGCCGTGTTGATCTAGACAGTGTGCTTGATATGCTTGCCAATGGTGCTGCAGTGAGATTGGCACCAAACAAAGTCACCTTGACGCATTTATCCAGTTGATCAGACAGCAAAATGACACTGTCACTTGAAAGATTACAACCGTCGAGATCCAGAGACTTTACATGGTCTACAAGCTCCAAAACAGTATGTAAAGCCATCACATCAACAACTTCAAGGTGGATTCCACTAACATCAATTCCACCACCTGCCAGGAGATTACCTGACATAGCATAGCAGCGATGGATGATTGCGTCTACATCCTGATTGGGGTATCCATTGCGGTTATGTTGGAGTGAAATGTGGCTTTCCATCAAACATCTCATCAGGAACAGAAGCATCTTCCTTTTGCTCTTGACAACTTGATCACTGACGCTATTGTCAGACTGCAGAGCCAACAAAGATGAATGTAGAAGGTCTGGCTTCAGTGCTCCAAAGACAAATTGCCAAAAGACAAGTGTGTTCAAGTCTGTGCCGACAGTGTTGATGCACCTGCGGATGATGTCTACGCACGAGTCAGAAGAAATGATGCATCTCGATGCACACCACTCTTGCAGTGTCAAGTGAGTCAAGGACACAGTCTGAGTGGAACCGACGGCCGACGGATGCATACCAGGGTTGAGCAGTAAGCCGAGATCTTGACAAATGGACTGGTGGAGGGTTGACAGCGTGGATGTAAAAGTAGCCATGCCCCTTTGATATGTTGCAAGACACATCGTGTAGAGATTGTGCAATGCCTTGACTAGCTCCACAGCATGGTGATCACACTCCTCATCATTGTTGCTTGTCTCCTTCACATAGCGCTCCAAATGATGTTCTATTACCACGGGGATACTGACAAGATCACCACAACTGAAGTGCCGGCCACCACTGCAGTGACTGATGACGTCATGTGCAAGCCGTACTTGACCAAACTTCTTTCCTCGTCGCTTTTCCAGCTTTGCGACTGAGGAGCGTAAGTAGTGGTCGTAGAAAAGTGTCACACTGGAGGGTAGAGAGTTGTTGATGGAATATTGCTGAACGAGCAGAGCACATAGGAGTGGAGATTGTCGAATGGCTTCCTTCAGCAGACAGTTGTTCCGTTGGGAAAGCTCTTCCATACACTTCTTGGCAACTTCCTCTCCGAGCTGTCGTGAGCAGTACGCAAAGAGCTGGTCTGCTGAGAAGCCGAGAAGTCGGAAACGTAAGCGGAAATGCGGTATGTGTTGATACGCTTCATCACACGGTCGGCTAGTTGCGACTACAATAGCATCAGGTAGTAGTGAATGGTTACTGCTGCTGCTCCTCAATATTACAGCTTGGGCTGCTGATCCGGTACCAAATCCATCACTACCAAGTTCGTCAATCCCATCAATAACGATCAATACCTGGTCGGATTGCTCAGAGAGGTAGTTGAGCAGTATAGATTGCTCCTGTGTACTGATGCGCAACTGGTCCAAACCAAGAAATACACACCAATCAGTTGACTGTGTACGTTGAAAATCACGGCACGGCACGTAGAAAATGAATTCAATCTTTGCCAGATTCCCAGTTGTTGTCTCCATGATGTCGGCGATGACTCGTTTGCTTAGAGTTGTCTTTCCTTGCCCAGCGTTCCCAATTACAATGCAACTTTCCAGAATGTCTTCGTCAACTGTGTCATCACCACCACCAACACCAACACCACTTTTGCCAGCGCTAGTTACACCTTCATAATAATGGGGATCAGACAAGAGCTGCTTAGCGCTGGACAGAACAAACTGCCTTCCTCCTTCCACTTTGTCACTCTTATCTTGTCTAGCTCCTGGGATAGCAACGCCTGGTGTACGGTCAGATATTGGCTGTCTTCCAGTGACACGGCGAGTTGAAGCTTGTTGCGCACGATACGTCAGCTGCAGAGCATCTTTCTCCGTCAGAGCCTGCATGGGCACGAAGCAATCCTTGACATCGCCGGACAAGCAAGTTAGATCTGAATGATCAGCGGTGGTCTTGCACAGATGTGTATTCACTCTGTGTAGATGTTGTTTAAGACGTTGAATGTGCCCACCATTGTCTGCTCCATCATCATTCACTGCCAGTGTATGACATGTCACTGTGCCATCGTTAGCTGTGTTGCTGGCTGCACGCATAGTAGCAACATGAACTGTGGTGAAACACAGGACAGGAAAGAGGAAAAAGAACAAATTGTTTGATGGTATATCATTGTACAGATGTACTGTGATGATATGTGTTGTAATTCAACGTTCTGCACACGATAGGAACTAAGGCACTCACAAAACACAACGGGTAATAGGTTTATCCATTACTTTACCATAGTATAGTAGAAGACTGGAGAGTCCTTAGACTCGAGCGGAATGAATGAAAATGATAGCAAGCTCAGGTTATATGCGCTCCAAGCGTTTGGTGCAACCGGATGCAAAGTTAGCGTACAGCGCATGCGGACTTTAGATCTCTAGATGTACGCTACAGAGTGGCGTGCAGTTTTAGAGCAGCGAGCACAATTTTATTCTAGAGATGTACACAGAGCGCATGCGTCAAATTCAGTTTGGGAAAGGTTGCGTGTGAGCAACATGCAAATAAATTATGGGCGAAGACTTTGTAAACAACAGCCTTCGCTTGCAGCAGGAAGATAACTAATGTTTGTAAACATGAAGTATTATCATACCTTGCAAGAAAGGTGTCTCGGAGTGACCTAGACCTGGAGAAGTCAGGTACGTGATTTATGTATTTGCACAACATATTACTATCGTGAATATTTGAAGTATGCTCGAGAATTATTGAAATGTCTAACTATAACATTCCCTTCCCCTTCACAAAATGAAGCCTGAAAGTAAAGACGAAATCTATAAACATGAGCCGGAAACCCCGTCCAGTTACTTGCCGAAAGACGGGTTCTCAATTAAGCGCTCTGGTGGTCTAGAGATCCGAGTAGAACGTCGCAAAGAGACTGCTGGACTGGGTGTGTCTGGTTCAGAATCTATTGCTGTGCTTGCATCTGCAGACTCATTGTAGGTAACAGTACTAGAAGCGGGAAACGTAGCAGCTGTAACAGTAGGAGCGTTCTCAGAGCTATCCTCTGGAGTAATCAAATTATCAGGTATGGAGGGCAATGGACACTTACGAGCCGAATCAGCACTGTCGGATGTATCACCGGCGGGATCTCGTAACCGTAAATGCTCAATATGGACATGACGGATGGTGGTACCACTCTCAACAGAGTAGGTCAGTGGTCCCAGTCTGGCTGCAATAACCGCTGGTGTCCATTTGTCATGGCGAACATCCTTGACCCAGACGCTGTCACCTGGCAGGAAAGCTCGCATAGCTGGCGCAGAGTCTTGCTTGGCCTGCATGTGCGTTGCAAAACTAGGATAGAGAAATGAGAAACGTGTGACGGGGACGAACTTCATAATTATGCTAGCTGGTGACGCGTGAGAGACAGAATGTGGTGTGTTTCTATACGAAAACAGGAATTGCGAAACAGCATCTTGAGGAGAATCATCTGATTTTGCAAGATGTTTCTTAAGTTCTTGTACTAGACGCTCCACCTGTCCATTGCTAGCAGGATGGTACGGAGGGGTTCTTTTATGCCGAATACCATTTTTCTGACAAAAGGTGGCAAATTCCATGGACGTAAACTGCGGACCATTGTCCGATACTAACATCAGCGGGATTCCGCAATAGCTAATGAACCGTTTCAAGCATGATAATGTCCGCTCAGTAGTAGTAGATTTGCCCATAACAAATACATCTGCCCACTTGGAGTACGCATCAATTATTAACAAGTAGTGCTGACCTTTGTATTCAGCGAAATCAAGATGAACCCTCTCAAATGGCCGGTTCGGGTAGACCCAGTGGTGAATGGGTGCCTTCGTTGGTGCTCGAGCCTGCTGTTGGCATAGACGACAATTCGCAGCAAGTTCAACTATGTCTTGGTCTAAGTGAGGCCACCAGAAGAAGGATCTAGCCACAGCTTTCATGCGAGATACGCCAAGATGATCAACATGCAACTCATGCAACAGACTGGAACGAAATACCAAGGGAATCACAACCCGCAAACCCCAGGTGATACATCCCTGCTCAACAGATAGCTGGTCTCGAATACGATAGTACGAGGAAAGACTGTCTGGGACACTGCTAGGCCAGCCATGTGTGATGTGGTGCATGACCTTACGTAGAGTGGGGTCAGCTGAAGTTGCCTTGCTAACATCGGTAGCGGATAATGGCAGATCATGACAAGGATCAACATTGACAGACTTAATGTAATCCGTGAGCTGTTGTTCCTGAAGCACAGAAAGCTGAACGGGCAAACGCGATAGACAGTCAGCAACAACATTATCAGTACCATTGATATGCTGAATGGAATATTGATACTCGGACAAAATAACAGCCCAACGTTGTAGACGTGCTGTAGTGACAGACGGAAGTTGATCATGTTCACCAAAGATCTTCAATAACGGTTTGTGATCGGTGCGAAGGGTGAAGTGTCGTCCACACAGATACTGTTTAAGACGCTTCACGGCAAATACAATGGCAAGAGCTTCTCTCTCAATTTGCGCATAATTTCTTTCAGCAGCAGCCAAAGAACGAGATACATAAGTAACAGGACGCAAATAACCTACTTTGTCTGGTTGTAGTAGGCAGGCACCGATTCCCGTGGGAGACGCGTCGCACTCCAAGATGAGTGGTTTCTTGGGATCATAGTGAGCCAGTACGTTTGACGATGCTAAGATCTCCTTGCACTGGATGAACACATGTTGACACTCGGGAGTCCAGTTCCATTCTGTACCCTTCTGAAGAAGACGGTTCAAGGGATACAACAACTGCGAAGCATTAGGGATAAATCGACCATAAAAGTTGACCAGCCCCAAGAAGGAGTGTAGTTCTGACGAGTTAGTGGGCTGTGGTGCTTTGGCTATAGCAGATACTTTGCTAGGATCAGCATGCAGCCCCTTGCTTGATACAATGAAGCCTAGATACTTGACACTCTCCTGGTTCAGCTCACACTTCGCTTTCTTCAGCTGTAATCCTGCCTTCTCAAATCTGTCTAGAACTTGACGCAACCGGGTATCATGCTCTGCTTGGTTGGTTCCCGTGATTAAGATGTCATCAAAGTACACGATGACCCCATCGATGCCAGCTAAGATCTGCTCTATAGTCTTTTGCCAGATTGATGGTGCTGAGGAAACGCCAAAGGGCAATCTCGTGAAAGCAAATAACCCTCGATGGGTTGCAATGACGCACAGTTTCTGACTGTCTTCGGACAATGGCAACTGAGTGTATGCTTGGCTGAGATCAACTTTTGAGAAAACAGAGGCCCCTGCAATGCTGGACAATAAATCACTGGGATTTGGAATAGGGTGTATGTTGCTTTCAATATGCTGGTTGATGGTGACTTTAAAGTCTGCACAGAGTCGTATAGAACCATCGGCTTTCTTCACAACAACAATAGGAGAAGCCCACTCTGAAGATTCTACCGGAACTAGAACACCCTCCTTAATCAAACGATCTAATTCAACATCAACTTGCGGTTTCATGGCGTATGGCAACGGTCGAGCTGAGTAACACTTGGGAATTGCCCCGCTGGCAATGTGGATCACCGCCTCCGAGTCATGGATCTTGCCCAGACCACCTTCAAAAACGCTTGGGAACTCGTCTAATACAGACTCAGAATCAGACGTACGTGGAGCAGAAGAGACAGAACAGATGGTATGCCAATCCAAACGTATGTTAGACAACCAATTGCGGCCGAACAACGGGGTGGTGCCCTCTTTGACCACAAGAATCTTCTCCTGGACATGTTGCGACTGGTACTGTACATCGACACAGGCCTCCCCCACAACAGTTAAAGGTGCCCCCGAGAAAGTACAGAGTGCAGTCTTGGTGGCATTCAGTTTGACATCTCCCCACAACTGTTTCCAAAGAGCTTCAGGAATGATCGATAACTGTGCCCCTGTGTCAAGTTCCATGTTGAGGGGTTTCCCGTTTACATGTACATCAACTCGGAATTTGCCAGTGTGACTGTGCTGGGACCCAATATTGGCAATCATGAAATCTGAGCTTAGAGCTTCATCACATTGGTCAGGCAGTGAGACATGGTGAGTACCAGCATCCCTAGGTTGGGCATGCGATGATCTACTTGCATTACTACTACTAGTACCACCTTGAGATCTACAACAAACAGCATAGTGTCCAACCTTACTACACGTGTTGCATCGGCGGCGGCGTGCTGGGCAATCGTCAGCTGACGACGCGTGACCCACCCTGTTGCATCGCGTACATGGGGAGCGCGTTGACGATGTCGTAGAGCGTACGGCGTCGACGCTGCTCGGGCTGGCACTGACGCTTGACGCTGCCGTAGCCATAGATCTTACTTGAATGCCTGACGATTCTCGCACGCGAAACTTTTCCAGCAGCACCTGTAGGGTAAGGTTACTCTTGGACAGAAGAGAGCGTTGCAGATCGACGTCAATACAAGTGGCAATCATCTGATCACGAATGTGCTCGTCATCTGCAGCAAATGCACAAAGTTTGGCCTGCGTACGGAGTCTGGTGCAGAATTGCGTGGCATTCTCTCCTACATTGGGTGACATCTGTCTGAAAACGTGCCGCTCAAAAGTTGGATTGACTGTGTATGCGAAATGCTCATCAAGCATTCTTACCGCTTGTTTGAAAGCGTTGTCATCCCCTGGTCTATCTGCCTGCGCAACCGGGTCTTCGAGATCTTCAAAGATCTCCTGAATCTGTAGGCCAGCCTTGTGCAACAGCATGCTGCGCTGGCGATCTGGGTCGGTGATGTCCTTGGCTTCGATGAAGTACTGGAAAGCCCGCCGCCATTTCTTCCAACGCTGTTGGACCTCACTTGCGTGCCCACTGATAAGGAACTGGTCGATGGAGTCCTTGGACATGGTTCGGAAATTTCGTCGCCAATGTTGTAATTCAACGTTCTGCACACGATAGGAACTAAGGCACTCACAAAACACAACGGGTAATAGGTTTATCCATTACTTTACCATAGTATAGTAGAAGACTGGAGAGTCCTTAGACTCGAGCGGAATGAATGAAAATGATAGCAAGCTCAGGTTATATGCGCTCCAAGCGTTTGGTGCAACCGGATGCAAAGTTAGCGTACAGCGCATGCGGACTTTAGATCTCTAGATGTACGCTACAGAGTGGCGTGCAGTTTTAGAGCAGCGAGCACAATTTTATTCTAGAGATGTACACAGAGCGCATGCGTCAAATTCAGTTTGGGAAAGGTTGCGTGTGAGCAACATGCAAATAAATTATGGGCGAAGACTTTGTAAACAACAGCCTTCGCTTGCAGCAGGAAGATAACTAATGTTTGTAAACATGAAGTATTATCATACCTTGCAAGAAAGGTGTCTCGGAGTGACCTAGACCTGGAGAAGTCAGGTACGTGATTTATGTATTTGCACAACATATTACTATCGTGAATATTTGAAGTATGCTCGAGAATTATTGAAATGTCTAACTATAACAATATGTTGACAAGTATATTCCTAAATGTAGATAGTGTGTGTGTGTGTGTGTGTGTGTGTGTGTCTGTGTGTGTGTCTGTGTGTGTGTGTGTGTGTGTGTGTCCTTGTACTCGTGGGGGACGGTTTGCCTTTTTCGAGCTCCAGTTATCTCTGGTCAAAACCTTTCAGTATACTCTCTCCAAGCCGGAGGCCAGCAAAGCGCTTTCGACGAGGGGACCGAAACAGCTAAATGACGGGACGGCGTTTGATGCCGTCACCTTTGACTGCACCCTTCATCGCCACTCGCGGAGGTTTGACAAGCCCCCGAGTGGATTCCATCACGCGCCATGAAATTTGTTGAAGAGAGGAGAGAGAGAAGGAGATGCCATCTGTTGCGCTTTGGATGCTGGAATGTCAGGTCCCTGGTGGAGCGAGACGGAGCCATTGAGACGGCAAGCGTTTCTGGCCGAGTAGTTGAAAACAAAAAAATAAATCGGGGTGTGGCGGAACTACGGAGGTTTGATATCGCCGCAGCAGGGCTGCAGGAGACTCACTGGTTTGGACAGGAGAGCTACGTCGTGGATGGTTTCACTATCCTCAGCTCTGGCCGTCCATCTCCTGGCACAGTCGACTCTCGCCGCCGAGGAGAAGGAGTCGCAATTGTTTTGGATCGTTGCGCTGCGAGCGCGTGGAGAGCTGGTGGCTGCGTCTGGAAGGCGGTGAGTTCTCGCGTTGTATCTGCCCGCCTGCAGTTCGCCCTCGTTGATGGGTCAGCTAAGAGTTTCACTCTGGTTTGTGCCTACGACCCGACTTACGCAGCTAGTCGCACCGTGAAAGAAAAATTCTTTGACGATGTCCAAAGTGTCTTGTACGATGTTCCACCATCTGATTGTTGTGTCGTAGTTGGCGATTTCAACGCACGGGTTGGTTCAGGCCAAAGGGGCGATGAGTGGTCCGATGTGCGAGGCACTCACGGGTATAACACCATGAATGCATCAGGAGCTGAGCTACTGTCATTTGCTGCTTCCAATCAACTGTGTATATGCAACACCTGGTTCCCTAAACGGAACATTTTCAAACAGACCTGGCAGCACCGTGGCACGCTGCAGTGGCAATGCATATATTTCATACTTGTGCGGCAAGACGACTGCCATCTATGCACCGACGTGGCCGTCATCCGGAGTGCTGAATGCGGCAGCGACCACCAACTGCTATATATGGCTTTGCAGCTTCCATCGCCGGTGCGGCGCGGGGCGCAGAGCAAGGATAGTGTTCGGCGCCGGTTTGACACTGCACAGCTAAAGGACTGTCGTACGTCTTCCCCTGAAGATCCTACGCCTACCGATATATACCAGGCAGTGATCAAGGAGGAGATCGACCGCAACTGGCTTGAGAATGCCAACATTAGTGAGAAATGGTCCTCTATCAAGTCCACCCTTGACACTGCTGCATCCACAGCCCTTGGAATCACCAAACGGCGTCAGCCGGACTGGTTCCAGGAAGCCCTGCCAAACATCCAACTACTACTGGACACGCGGAATTCGGCCTACGAGGATTGGCTTTGCCGGGGCCAGCAGCGAGACACTCCGTTTCATCAGGAGCTTAAGGCAGCCCGCTCGAACGCACGCGCAGCAATCGATATGGCCAGAGTGGACTGGATCAAATCTAAAGCTCAGGCGGCCACCGACGCCCGTTTCAATGGCGCTGTCGTGTGGAAATGCATCCATGACCTCCAGTCTGCTGGGCGCGGCCTTCAACCAGTACGAACAGCAGCGATCGTTGACGAGAACGGAAATATATGCACGTCACCGCGTTGCAGGGACAGCGCTGGGGAAGGCACTTCTCTGGAGTGCTCAACGTCATGAGCACTTGGACACCGAACGCGCTGAATGGTGTCCCTCAACTACCGCTTGCCGAAGACCTTGCTGAACCTCCCACGCTGCGCGAAGTGTGCCGCGCCGTTGCTCGCTTGAAGAATGGCACGGCTGCTGGAGCCTCGGGCGTCTTGCCGAAGATGGTGAAGGCAGGGGGTGAGCCGCTGAACAACAAGCTTGTGGAGCTATTTGGAGATGTGTGGCGTGCCAGCCAAGTGCCGCAGGAGTGAGTAGACGCTACCCTGGTACCAATTCCGAAAAAAAGGGGACCTGACCCGATTCGACAACTGGCGTGGCATCGCGCTGCTCGATGTTGTCGGCAAGGTCCTGGCGTGTCTCATTCAGACGAGACTCCAGGGCCTGGCCAGCAGCTTCCTCCCGGAATCACAATGCGGCTTTCGGCGAGGCAGATCCTGCACGGACATGGTGTTCAGCGTACGTCAGCTGCTCGAGAAGACCATCGAGCATACAGCCAAGGGTTTCTTCGTCTTCATTGACCTGAAGAAGGCCTACGACTCCGTGCCCCGTGAGTGCCTCTGGCAGGTGCTCTCCCGTGCTGGTGTCCCTCCCCCCTGCTTGCAGTCATCCGACCTTTCCACCATGAGATGTATGCAGTATTGCGCGTGAGTGGCACAGGTGTGGGTCTGTTTAGCGTCACCAACGGCTTGCGGCAAGGCTGCACTATGGCTCCTGTCCTCTTCAACATCTTCATGTGGGCAGTAGTCACCAAGTGGCAACAGAGGGTCAGAGGTATTCCTGGCGTTGGTTTCCAGTTCAGCTACCACTATGGTGAGGGTCAACTATATCGCAAGGCACGCCGGGCTGACACTGCTGCCACCGCCCTAGAGGCACAGTTCGTGGACGATTCCTCTCTGTTTGCAACATCGCGTGCTGGTGCTGAGATTGCCTTGGATCTGTTCAACTTGACCGCTTCGGAGTTTGGCCTCACCGTGAGCGCGACCAAAACCAAGTTCTTGGTTGCGGGAGCTGGCGTCACGGCTGCGGACCAGGCGCCCATACAGCTTGCCGGTGTGGACATTGAGTGTGTGCCGGAGTTCAAGTACCTGGGGTGTATAATCCACTGTGGCGGCCAATCTTCGCAGGATATCAGCGCTCGGGTGGCAAGTGCGTCCCGGGCTTGTGGTGCTCTGCAGCAATCAGTTTTCAGGAACAAGAATTTAGATCTTCATATTAAACGCTGTGTGTTTAATGCGTGTGTCCTGTCTCTGCTCCTGCATGGGTCCGAGTGCTGGACGCCGCTGAAGCAGGACCTCCGTCGCATGTCTGTTTTCCAAATGCGATGCGCGCGGTCCATATTGGGTATCACACGCCATCGTTGCTGGGACGACCACATAATTATCACACAACCAGCTGCTTGAGTAGTGGGGTGACTCTGAAACCATCGTCACCAAGGTTCAGCATCGGCGCCTCGAGTGGCTAGGCCATGTCGCCCGCATGGACGACGTGCAATTGCCCAAACAGTTGCTGTTCGGCACCCTGCCATCTCGTCGCCCGGCACATGGCCCACGTCGGCGGTGGAAAGACTGCGCTGTAAAGGACCTCCGCTCACGAGACCTTGAAGCGGACTGGTACAGAGTTGCCTGTGACTCTCGCCCAGACTGGAGGTTGGCTTACACCTGGGATGCCCCGGATCCCCTCGTACCCTCACCGGTGACTTGTTTCACATGCGCCCGGCACTTCGCACGTCAGGGTGACCTCGCTAGGCACAAGTGCACGGCTGAACGGCAGAAGCCGGTTTCGGAGCAGAGAGGTGCACGTCAGTGCCCTCGGTGTCATCGTTGGTTCCGGAGCCGCGGAGGCTTGTGGGTGTGCATCGTTGCTCCGCTTCTACCGCGTGCCCAGTACCGACAGAACCAGCTGCTGTTGTTACCGGTGACACTACCGCTCGGAGGTGCTGCAATGCTCACTGTGACACCTGCAATCGTTGTTTTCGCTCAACCCAGGGACGCAACCGCCATCGCTGTTCAACGCAATGCCACCGTCCAATGGCCAGAGAACGGGACAAGTTCCCGCATATGTGTATCTGCTCTCGCCGGTTCCGACTAGTCTCGCATCTGGAGCGCCATCGGGTGGCGTGCTCTTTCGCTCTCTCTGCTGCCCCTCCGGGGCCCACGTGACCCTAGTGGTAGTGGCTCTACAGGACAGGACAGGACAGGACAGGTGTGTGTGTGTGTGTGTGTGTGTGTATGTGTGTGTGTGTGTGTGTGTGTGTGTGTGTGTGTGTGTGTGTGTGTGTGTGTGTGTGTGCGTGTGTGTGTGTGTGTGTGTGTGTGTGTGTGCGTGTGTGTGTGAACCACTGATTGTACTCTTTACAGAAGAACTGGACTGAATGGCGTCAACAAAAGAAACAAATAAGTGAGTAATCTCGATTGACGCTGTGTACAGCTTTGTTGTAAAATAATTTCAAAGTTTGCCAGTATCACTCGTCGATATTCCACAGCTGCATTTCACAATGTCCAACACAATAAACAGGGCAGGGTTTTCTTGAAAAACTGTTCTCCATGTTCTGTGTGGAGCGTTGTTGTGCTCAGGCATGCACTGCCGAAAATGTAGCAAAGCTGCTAGATTCTCGTTTGGTGGGAGGTGCGAAAATGCATCTAGGATTCTCGTTATAGATGCAGGTTGAAATTTTTTCGTGAGCATCTTATTAATATTTGTATTGCGTTTCGGCATGTGGGTCTCTTCAGTTCACCTGGGTGGGCGAGCGTCCGATCTTGGTGAACCACGGTCTGCCTGGTGGGCTGGAGGGATCATGCTCTTATTTGAATCGGTTTGCCTTGCGGGTGTTGTGGGTTCTGGGTGTTGCTGGTTGTCACATGTGCGTCACAATAAGTGCCTGACGGTTTTGGTTTTTTGTTTTGCAAGCGGATGTACTATATGTTTTCCGGTGTTTTTATGGTGTTATCCCTGTGGTTGTCAGGGTGGATACCTGTGGCTATTCAGGGCAGCGTCGTGTGATTTTTTCTTTAATGTCTTTTTGCGTATTGGTAACCGATTTGTTTGCGTGGTATCTGGTGTCCTCAATGATTAATTGGTCCTGTTTCAGTCGATGTGTTCTTCCTTGCTGTTCTTCCATTCCTTCGTGTGGTTTTCTTTTCTGATTTTTGGCGATGGATGAGATGTTTGTGTCAATTTTTGGGCTTCAATTGTTTTGCTTTCATCCTCAGGAGAGGATCTCTTTTTTCGGTGGGGGATAGAGTTGTACATGCTGCTGAATCGTGGTACACGCTGCTGAATCGTGGTACACGCTGCTGAATCGTGGTACACGCTGCTGCGCTATTGCAACAGGTGTGTACTCACATGCATAAAGCCTAGTTCACATTCGACGGAACGCTGACGGTCGGGACGTAAGGCCTGTCGGGAAGGCTGGGGTGAGCTGTAAAATCTTGTATGATTCGTACGATACGACATACTGCAGTCGTTGCGTCGTTCAGCAGCGAACGACGCCAATCATAAGGCACGGCCCATGACAGGGTGACCTTTGGCCCTATTTTCTTGTTTTTCGGTATTTCTTTTCAATTATTTCTCCTTGAATGAAGCGGAATCAAGTTCACAATACCAGTTTTTCATGAACACCAAAAAAAGTAGCATCGAAAGGTGTGCTATTCCAATTAAAGCTCCAGAGAATGATAAAACAGTCCGTCTGTCACGCTCCTGAACTATCCCTAAATGCCATAAGTGACACCAGACCGTATCTTGCTAAAATTCAACTCAAGTCGTGTTAGCCATTCTGCGAGTTATCATGGGAAGCACAGTGTTCGAAATGCTTAAAATTTCCCAAGTACGAATCGGGAATAGTCGGCGCACAACGCCGTCTCCTGTTCACACTCAAAATGCAGCTGTTTTGTACACTTGCATCCCCGTCTACGCCCGTCTACGGTATGAAAAGTTGGATCGATCCAACTCTTCCCGTCGCTTCCCGATCTGTACGGCAGTACGGCTGCGTTCCCGTTCCTGGTGTTCACATTGGACGCCGTCAGACTGTCCCATCGCTTCCCGTCGATCCTTACGTCACGTCCCGTCGTGCCCCGTCGAATGTGAACTAGGCTTTATAGTCACCCACTCTGTACACACTTTTCACACTGGTCCGCAATGGGACCGCATTGTATTGCTTACCCGTGCACCTTTTGTGCTGATGAGCGCACCACTTTTGCCCTGATGAGTGCACCACTTTCCTGGATATTATTCACTTGTCAGTTGTCATACGTCAGTTGTCCAGTCTTCTCCTGAGAGAAAGAACAAAGTATTCTCTTCAAATAAACAGCTTGCCTTCTGTTGTGTATCGCGGCCGCAAGAGGGGTATAATTCACTTTTAGCTAGACGACACTTTGGTGTATTGAGTTGTATTCTGCTGGTAAGGTACAAAATTAAAATTTCCCTTGACAGCAGAAGTTTGGTTGATGGCAATGTATAAATTGGGCATGTTCAGCTTGTAATGATACATCCACAACCCTGAAACCCTCCCCATTCTAGACATATCAATTACCTGTCTCGTAAGAGGATGTCTTGGCCGTTGGTCGCTGGTCAACGGGCAACAGGAGAAGCATTTCTTGGTACTTTTCATTGTACAATGGACCCAAGTCATGGATTGCATTGCAGAGCAGTTTATAAGCAAATGTGCCTCCAGGACGAATAAGACTGATGATGTGAGAATTATGCTTTTCCTTTCCTTCGTATTTCTCCAGACGCAGCAATGTCTCAATTTCCGTTATACTTATGAACACGCATTTGCCCTGCACAGCATGTCGAAACCTCGTTGTATCAATTTCACAGATCCACGGTAAGATATTAGCAATGAACTTGGGATCACCAAATGGTTCATCTAAAGAATACGAAAAGACACAAACCAAATATACAGGAATGTCGAACTAATCGAAACAGCATTGACAGATAATCATTAGTAATTTTGAGACAGTTTCCTGGACAACCAATCACCATGACAACTGGGTCATGTTTGGACACATCAACATCATGTACAGTAAGATCGGGCGCCGAAGAACACCCAGGCTGGAAAACCGGCAAAAATTAAGAACAGTCCAGGCTAGAATTATCAGATTTAAGAACACTTTTAAAATTTACAAAATTGTACATGTATGGGAGGTGAGTACATGTCATGTACACGTGTAAACCGTAACTGCTACATGTACAGTCATTCCCATTTACGACACCCACTACTGGCACTAGTTTAGAAGTACTACATTGCACTACATGTACATGACATGTACATGACAAACGTCATGACGTCACTCGACTCGCCGTGCGCGTGTGAATAAGAACGGTCTGGCTAGAATCAAAAATTTAAGAACTTTCCTAGGCTGCACTCGAGCCCCTGCGTTCTTCGGCGCCCGATCTTACTGTAGCCTCGTTCACCCCCCCCCCCCCCCCCTCCTCAGCATAATCAAGCTAAACTGATGTGGGGTGACCTCCCCGTAAAACTGTACTTTAAGCAGGCAGAAGGTGTTTTCTTGCAGGTTTACAAAGTGAACCATTTGATGGATTTCTTGTATACGGACGGCTGTGCAGGATGGCAGTCACAATCAGTCAAATGACAAGTCAAGTCGGCAGGAAAACAGCGGCTGAAAGGTTGTAAGCAACAAACATTCCATTAACGGGTTTGGTTCTGTATAGGAGATCTACTTCCTATAGCAAGTCTGTTGTCTATAGGAGTTTTGTTTCTTGTTTGCTCTTGTAATCACAAGTAACCAAAGGCTTGTTGCTAAGATACTGCACATTCAATTATGGTGGACTGCTGGTCTGACTTACTGTTAGACATTTTGAAGTAATTTCAAAACGATGATAAACTGGTTATTGTAGCACGGTTCATACACTCTTCACTGCAGTCATGGTCTGTGTAGTTTTCTGCAACCACACACAGACACACAGACATACACACACACACACACACACACACACACACACACACACACACACACACACACACACACACACACACACACACACACACACACACACACACACACACACACACACACACACACTACTACTACTACTATGTACAACTGCCACAAAATGGCCACGTCGCTCCCAGAAGCGGGAGACAACAGCGAGAAAGGAAAAAGAAACAAGGAGAATAATTGAGGTGAGAGGGGACCGTTCTACACATAGCTAGTGTTTCTGTCTTCGGTGGCGGGTGAGGTCCTGCGGGCGGGAGAATCGTTCGTTACATAGGCTGCATTGAATGGGCAGATTAGTCCTCTGGTCCTTTCGCAGTCGTTTGCCTCGAGTACAATTATGGCGGTTAAAACCAGCCTGACTCTTCATGCAGCGATCACAGGTCGAGCAATGGTGCTGGCAGCAGTCCAAATTCAGGCTGCATCTCGTTGAAACTGGTATTTCGTCCGATGTCTGACGCTCCACACAACGATGAACTGCAAAACCGCCAGCGCTTTGAAACCAGCGGTCACACACACACACACACACACACACACACACACACACACACACACACACACACACACACACACACACACAAACACACTCTATCCTTTGACCTTTGAGCTTTTGACGCCCATCGCAGGAGGCGATGATGGCAATGCTACAGCAGAAGCCATAGCAACTTGTGCTGGAATTGCACCATTCAACTGCTTGCAAAGCTGAAGAATTGACCGCCACTATAGCCACTATAGTGCGTTTCAAAAGTCCAGACCTCTGGTTTCAAAAAAACCGTTAGGCCAGCATCTATACCACATAAAATCTGTGTTCACTTTGTGCATAAAATTTTCGAAATTGGGCGTCTGTTATCCAATCGCTTAGAAATTTACATGAGAAAAATTGCGTGAGCTGCCTGAACAATATTCCAAAAGAAATTTCTCAAAAAGCTCCAACCAAATTTGAATTATTCGAAAAAGTCTAGAGGTCTATACTTTTGAAACGCACTATAATTGACCGCCACTAATTTTTAGACTGGTATCCACCACATAACTGATTGAAATGTTGGTTTGCGTTGCGCAAACCGTAGTTAACCAGCACGCCACAGGCCGCGCCCCCCGCAGGGGAATATCCCCGCTAGATGACTTTAGGTGACCTTACACACTCCGTCGTGCCGCCGCAGCCGACTTGCGCAAGCACACACTCTTGCGGAGTTCCGCATTCGAGTCGCACTCGCGTCCGACATCCCGCACGAGCCACATTTCGCCTGGGGGATGCATCCGTAGACGGCTCATCTACTGCTGGCTGGTGTAATTTTTGCCAGTTGTCTGTTCATGACCCCATGGGTCGTCTTTCAAACGCTCTTTCATAGCCGACAGACGGCGTTATTTGTTCCTACCATACTATGTTTCAGATGGACGGCCTTAGACGGCCCAGTCCAATCATTTCACGCGAACTATGTTATACGTCATCATGATCACAATAATCATGTCGTGCTCACGTTCAATATAAGCTTGCGACACCCCACTGGCTCATCTCTTCTGTGGTGTGAGGGTTAAGTGGCTTTTTCTGGCCAGCGAATCCCTATTTTTCATTATTATTATTTTTTTACACACACACACACCACACCACATACTCCGGCATACACTGGCTGTTGGTAACCACCCAGGAGGATGAAAGAAGAGCTAGGAGAGTGAGAAAGAGAAGAAAGATGTGTGCGACCATAATCGTCGGGAATTGAACCCGCAACCTCTCGAGTGGAAATCCACTGCACATACCACTGCACCATATGGGACACACACACACACACACACACACACACACACTTGCTGCTCACTGCCAAAACTGGTCACGTGGGTCTTCCCGGGAGAGGGGAGAGAGACTCAAAAGGAATCTTGGAAAGATGACTCAATTGGCTATTGAACCGCCCAACGGCCGACACCCCTGAAATTCCCAAAACTCTGGGTGGACTTGAAAATGATCCCACTTATGGGCTCACCACACCTCAGTAAGTGGGTGAGGACAAGGTGCAGAAAAAGGA